GCCATTTCCAGATTCCTAAATCCCCTATTACATCTTTTATTGACAGCTCCTGTGAGGATAGCACAAATGCTATTCTCTTTGTACTCTTTGCTTCTGTAACACTCACACTTTGAGGAAAATGTACATGGGTTGTCTAGAAATTAAYATCTTGTTTGCTGTAATCTTAGATTACAATTAACTGTGTACATAATAAAATTAGGAAATCTATGAGCAGATTTATCATTTCCAGAAAACCAATGGCATTGTGTAAGACAGTTTAACATATGGTGCCAAATTTTTTAATATAGGAAAATTAAAAGTTGTAGGCACTGAAAGGATGACTAAAAAAAAAAAATCACTGGACTTGATACTAGATTTTTCATTTTCATAAAAAAACTTCAGGCCACATTTGCTCTACATAATGCTTCCCAATTCTAGAATTTAACTGAATATTTAATGAGAGATTATCAGGTTTTCCTTCCATAACAGAAACTCTTCTCCTAACATTCTCCACTTCTGAACASACACCATTCTCTACAAAAGACAATCCCATAACTTTTTCCATCTCTTTCCCAGAATTACTCCGAGATTACTTAAAAAAAACCTCAAAACCCCAAACCAAAGAAAAAACTGCATGCTTACTAAACGATTTAAATATTCATGTTTGAGCTGTTCTTTATATTAAACTATCATTTTAAAACTTCTGCATGAAATTGATGTTACATGTGCTAGAAGAGCAAAGGATGTCTATCTTGTTTACTGGGATTCTTCCTGTATTAGATACACAATAAACAAAATGCTTTAAATATTCTAGTAACACTCTGAGCAAAAAAAGGAACAATTTTTAAAAGGTCTTTCTGTGGTGGGGATCAGACAGAATTTACTTTGTATTTCCAGCTGTTGCACTRCTCTAGAAGGAACACTGGAATTGGTCTGGCAAATCTGAAAAAAGCTTGGTGATATTCTGGAAGAGACCACTTTTTTTACACATTCTCTGTACCAGGCACTGCCAGTTTGTCTCCCACAAGTTAAAAAAACRGGGGAAAGGCAACAGTCACACAAGAGTGTGCTCAATATTTACATTTTCAAGTTAGTGAACTGAGGAAAATTGCAAATCAAGTGCTTATCATTGTTACTATTCTGCAAAAATGTTGACTGCTTTCCCAAATTGCTTTTTAGTTAYAAAGTTATAAATACACATATATTGATTTGAGTGCTTTTTTCAGAGCAAAATTGTATTTCATGAAAGTTTATGCAGTAAAAWTAAACAGTAATCAATATTTTGTCTCATTGCTCAAAAATATTTTATCAGTTATTTCTGAGCTGWTTTATGTGTAAAACACAAGTTCTGTAAGGTCTTCTCCACTTAAGAGATAGAAGCATAAAAAAGTTCCAAACATCAATAGATGAGTGCAATGATATTCAGTCTAASTTAATCCCCAGACATCCAAATCCATGAATAAAAATTCATCAGTTTTAAATACACTGAGCCTATTAAGCAAGAACAAAAGCATATGCACAAAAGAGCTTTTAATATATTTCAAAGCCCACAAGAGCCATGGTCTCATTAAAATTATAAATTACACAAACATGGAATAAAGATTCAAACTGCAGTGCAGCTAAGCAGATTACAGCAAACCCCGCGTTCCATATGATAACACACCATGGCCCTCCCAGATGGGGGCTTGGAACAAAAAGGCCATCACTGCAGCTAGGGAAAACCTCCTTGTGATCTCTGGTTTCTGTTCAGCAGATGACAGCCAAATAATATGTTGATTATTCTGTTTGTGCTGCTAAGCTTGTAAGATGGAATAAAAGCGATATGATCTATTGTGAACTCCATGCTAATGTGTTGCTCCCCTCATAAATAATATACTGGATTTAWTCTGAAACTATCTTTTTATCTGAGTTGCAGGTTTTAAATGCATGAACTAAAATAGAAAGCAAGCAGAAGCTATTATTTAATTTGATGGTTTAAAGTAAAAGATACGGCTGACACAATAAGAAATGTGAAAACTGACTACTTAGTGAATCAAATAAGCCGAGGTGCCTTTCTCCAATTTAGCAAATGATTCTGTGCTGAGGTGCAGAGCACTTGAGCACACTCCAGCACCACAAACTGCACCGTCACTGCTACCAAAYACAACACCAGGCAGGGGCTGTATGGCTTATTGTACCACAGACACCCACCCCAAATACCAATTTCAAACAGGATACAAGTACTTGTAGAACAGAAAAACAGAAGCAATCACTGTGTAACTCCACTAATATTATCTCCCCCTCATCTGCCTCTCAGTGACCTAATTATTTTACCATTCTGGTCATATTATTTCATGACCTGTGCTCAGCCCAGGTAAAGTTAGACAGCTTGACAGAATTATTTACACTGCACACGCAGGTTCACACGCTACTCTGTGCATGGCCAGAGTGCTGTGAAAATCCATATGAATGCAGGGATGGCTCTGCAGGATCTTGTCCTGAGCAACACCTGAGGGTTGTGCTGTTTTGTGAAGGCTCTGACCAWGATCACTGCCTGGGAAAGGCAGAAYCAGCATCACCCTGACCCGGGTCAGGAACTGCATCCCTGCTCCCAGTGCTACCCAGCTCCTCCCAACACAGCCACACTCAGCCACTGCTCTCCTGCATCTCTGTCACGCTACAGACTGAGTGCTTCATAAATCCAAGGTGGGCCATAAAAGGGGAAATTCCTGCTTGTTAAAGGACACWACACTATCTGAAGTTACTTCCACATTGGTGGTAGCTGAACAATCAAGCTAGCATTCCTGTCTGGAATATCTATAGAAGACAATAACCAGAAAACATCATTGGCCACTGGAAACCTGAGGTTCCATCTTTGTGGGTCTCACCAGGATGCATGATAAACACAAGGAAAATAATCTCTATTAAATACACCATTAAGACACTACATTAAACTCTCAATTCACTTTCAAGATTACCATTCAGCAGGTTTCAGTAATATTATATTGTACAATTCTGTAACTACAGAAACATTAAATAACTTTTAAAATAATTTCCTGTCTTCAGCACGCGCTACTTTAACTCCTAATTTGCTCCTACTTTAAAAGAGCTATTTCCACTAGACACAGGTTTAAATTTTTTCCCTGTTGCTCAGGATACCCACAAGGATGCATTTAGGTAACATCCAGAGGCTGAGTAAGATAATATCACGTTTTATATAATATCATACAACTGGCAAGTCTTAAACACTCCAACTAATTCTTTCGCTTGTCACAGACCGACTGAATAAGCAGTCTTTAAGCTTTTTCATAGGAAAAAAAAGCAGGTCTTTTGGTGTCAGAGCTTCCAGGATTAAGCATTCTTTCCAGTTGTTGGCTCATGGCCTGAAGATCCTGCACTTTCAAACTTATCCCATTCTAGCTAGTTCAAAGATCAGGAAAATGAAGCCATCTTCTTTGCAGCCATAATCCACGACCCATGCTGTTAGATACTTAAGAACATCTCAAAAGCAAACTACCTTGTTTCAGCTCCCAGCTGGAGCTCAGCAGGGCACTGGGTCATATGACTGCAAACCCGACCTAGTCAGGTGACTCRGGAGCTAATCTGATTTGGTGACTATAAAACTTTAATCAGTACAGTCTAATACCAYCACATTCCAAAAGTGATGAGCGAARCAGCCCGGCGATGTAACAGCAAACACTAATACGATTATGAATTAAAACTGCCACTAGGATGTGCTTTTCTAGTTCTCTATCCCACATAAATATCACTGAAAACYGGTCGGGCAGACACACGGATTGGTGTTTTATTCCAAAATTAGCGTTCTGTTCATTGTCACAGACAAGAGCATTCACTGAATTTTTACAAGGCACCATTAAAACCTAACAAAACCATTGATTTGCAAGCAAAGGCAATAAAACACATCGGTAACACCGTGTTGTTGAGAAACATTGATCACACACACGGTGCTGCTGGTGTTGAGCTCCTACGAGTTTACAAAAGCAATCCACCTGGTGGTAAATGGTGAGGCCATGACACTTGTGCTTCCCCTTATCAACCACAAATATCCAAAGCACACTWCAAGGGATGCTCTTTGGGGGACACCAGGGTTTCCCCCAAATCTGTGTGCTTCAGCTTTTGAAGAGAAATGTCAAATGTACTTGCAGATAAAATTCCAAGTGTAATCTTTCCCCAAATGTTCTGATTGCTCTATCACTCACCATTGTATCCCCTTAGGGAATTTTCATCCCAAATCCTCTAAATCCATCTCAGAATCTGCATTTTGCATAGACAAGTAGCTGAATTGGACCAGCAAGTTTACAAGAGGAACATAAAGAGGTTGAGYTCTTCTTGGCACAGTTAGGACTTGCAGTTAAAACTGACATCCCCATTTCACCAGGTCTACATGACAAACATGTGAGCTGCCAGGAAGGAAAGTTGGATTATTCCATAGTTTAAGACCGCCCCATAAAGACACAAATGTTTAAAACTCTCCATTCTCCAACACGCTGAGCAGGACCACTGTCCATTGCCACAGCTCAGCTGACAAGAAAACTTCCTGACCAYTGGAAACCATCTCCACATTCTTTAGTTTCTYTRCATTTCCATTCCATCTGTAGAGCAKGAAGAGTAGGACTTATCCACCTAATAATAATATGTATTTGAGTATTTTATCCTTCCGGGCTCTTTTGGAAGGGTCTGAGGGCACCSGTGCAGCGACCCTGTCCGCTCACAGCCCGCCGCACCCCGGCCCTACAGACACCACAGACACACGCGGGACATGGAGGCACCGCMCTCCCGCGCCTCCCGGGACCCATCCATGCCCGCTGCCGGGCCCTCAGCCCCAGACAAAGCTCCGGTTCTCCGGTGTCCCGGCCCATCCCTCAGCACCGACCCCGCTCTCACCTCCCGCTCGCTGCCGGGAACCTCAGCCCTTCCCCGCCCTCCGGCCCGGCACATGCCAACAACGCGMGCTCCCATTGGTCGGCTGTTATACAAGCCGCTCTCCTATTGGCTGATCCCGGCCCCGCCCCCGGCCGGTGTCGCTGCCCGGCGCTGACATGGCGGCGGCCGGTGAGGCGCGGGGCTGCACCAGCTTCCAGCGCAGGCCCGGCACCGGCTCTCGCCTCCCCGCCGTGCCRGGCACTCGGCCCTCGGTGCGACACGGGCAGCTGCTGCTCTCCAGCGGGCTGCCCTCSCTGGACTGTGTGCTAGGTTGGTGGGAGCGGGACTGGGACCCGGTGCTGCCCCCTTCTCCGCCCGGTTGTCCTCCCCTTTGCCGGGCTCTGCCTGCGCTTCACCCCCCGTAACCCCGCGGTTGTTTATTCCCCGTAAGCTCCCGCAGGCTTTTCCTTCCTCCCCGCAGCCCCTGGGATTGGGGGAAAGGCGGGAGGGGGAAGGAGGACGGGGCAAGGCAGGATGTGTTCCCGCTTTGAGCTGGCGGTGAGCGGATCGCCGTGTGCCGTGCACTGACATCGCACCTTCGCTCAGAGCCTTTTTTCTGGAGACTAATTGCAGACCTACTCCGTAAATTGACTTAGCAGCACATTGCTGGCTTGTTTCACACTGTCACAGGGCGGGCTGGAAGGGTTTGGGTTTGGAAAACCATGTGTGCTGGGTTGACGCGTGGAGTGATGTGTAGCTCGGGTTCTGCCGTGGGGCAGTTGTCGCAATGTCTTTGCATTCTCGGTGCGTCTTTTCAGCTGCATCATTCAAATGCCTCGCTCAGAAAAGTTGCACTGATGTGATGTTCTTTTTGCCGTCTGTGGATCTGCCGTTTCCTGCTGTCAGTGTCAGGGTGCGAGGTGGTGCCGTGGACTGACCTGTTGTGATTATTGCTCTGTTACCTTTGGCATGAACTGGCACTTTCACTTGSATTGGGAGCTAATTAATTTTGCTGRTTTGCATGGTTTATYTGGATGCATTAGAGCTGTGCCATCCTTTAACTCTTCACACAGTTGCAGTGCATCTTTAATGCACATGCATGGGACTTTTRGGTGAGAATGGCCTGATTTTAGCTTTGTTCATTCAACCTTGGAGTACACAGAATATAGGAATATATCACTTCTCTTTCTAAGAATATTTTATATGAATAATGATAATATAAAAGTTGTATCCATTGTATAAAGGACTTTTTCTCAGCCTGTGTATCATTTTGTGTGTGTGTCTGCACTTTCATCAGGGATTAAGATCATAAGCTCTTCCTTGAGAGAGAAATATTTCATTGAGTGTCATTTATGAAGCCTTTTAATTGCATGAATAAAAGATTTGCATTGAGTATTCCAGTTCMTATTCCCTTTTATAAACAGTGGATTTTGCACAGCATGGCTCAGAAGATGTAGACAGCTCCCATGGTGGCAGTCTCCTAAAATTCTAGGCACTTGCTAACATAATTAAAGGTTTGTTATGGAAACTGAGGACGCTTTCAATAAACCCAGGATCTCTTCTACATTTTCCTTTTCTTTTAAATAYGTAGTAATTTCCTGAGCTTACTAATATTTATACTTGAACATCAAGGGAGATCCTTGCCCCTTGGAACAGCAACATTAGAAAATACTTTTAGATTTTTTTTGGATTTGTAGCATGTCTGAAAAACTGGATAACTCTACATTCCTGTGTTAAACCTTAGGTCACCCTCTTAAATCACTGATTTTTGGAGGCTGAGTGGGTYGGCCAGGAAAGACTCATGCTAAGCATGCTGACTGTAATAATTGATGCCAGTTGGAACAAATCTCCTGCTAGGTGAACCTGTACAGACTCACTGATTTTGGAGACTGAGGAGGGACCTCGAGAATTTATTCTCTGCAGCCTTAAAGCCTCAGCACTGAATTCAGAGTTGGTTGCTCTTGGAAATCTGCAATGGCAGAGATTTTTGCAGCTTYTCGGGATAACCCGGTCCATTGCTTAATGGTTTTTGTAGGGAATTTTCTTTTTTCTTGAATATTCACAGGGCACCTTTCATGTTTCAGCTCCCTTTTGTTTTTTGTTGTCCTGGCACTGTGCACCTCAGCAAAGAGCTCCAGTGTCTGCTCAGTGGCTTCCCTTGGGTATCATCCCATGGCCTTTAGGGCTTGCTCTCTTCTCCAGGGCTGAACAAACCCAAATCCTTCAGCCACATCTCTTGAATCATTTGYCCTATTTTAGTTCCTTTCCCTGGACTCGCTTCAGTTTATTCTTTCTTGAACTGAGGGCCTCAAAGTCATCAGGGTGTTGTGTTCCAGAAGTGTAGTGAATGCTGAGTGAAGGGGAACATCCTTTAGCATCTGACTGAGCCTCTGATGCTGCATCCCACTTATCTGGTGACTGTACAAGTGCTGACTTGTGTCTGTTTTGTATGTGTGGAAATGCTTCATAAATGTGTTGCAGAATCCTGTCTTATATGTTTCTGAAAGAATGCTGGTGCTTTTCTTTCATCTTGCCCATTAGGAGTTAAATAATGGACTGTAAAAATATTTAATTTTTGTTGTCACCAGGAGCTGAGGACAATCCTGGGGTTTTGTATAAATTCCCAGTGGAAGTTGCTATGAACTTTTCATCTGGTATTTTTATGGACGTATTTTTTAACAGTCACCAGGCAGTCCTTTAGCTCTCTTGCTTTGGGTTTGAATTGAARTTTGCCTTGTTCAGAACCTGTAACTCAAATACAGCATTATTTGCCAGTCATGAAGGTACAGTTATGAGTGAGGGAAAGCATGGTGTTATCACACCCAGGTCTAATAAGGAATGTCTCAAGAGAGGAAAAGGCAGAGAATATGAGGAGTTTCTTTCACCTTCCAGCTGCTGGCTGATGATTATATTGTTGTTGGTGGCTCTAAAGAAATGCATTTCTTTTGGAAGGRAAGTGGTAGGTAAGTGCTGGATTTSAAATGCTGTGATACCATTAGGGCTCTCTGCACTTCCAGKCTTTATATCCAAGCTTAATTTCAAGGTTTATGGACCATATATGCCTGATTTGTGCCAAAGCAGTTCTCTGTAGTGTAATATAACCATCACACGCTTGGTATTGAATGTTTTGTTTCAAGCTGCTTGAAAAAAGGTCAGGGATATGCTTTGAAAACAATCAGGAGCTTCTCAACTTACAAAGTTTGTTGTCCTTCTGTCCATAAGATCTTAAATCTCTTTGTTGTAAATAGCAAAGTGGAAAGTTTCAAGTCTTGCTTAGATGTTTATATATGCTACTGCTTTAGAGACTGGACAAGAAAAATTAAAATAGCAAAATTAGAAAGAATAATAAGTTCACAGCAKCTTTCTTGGGAAAGTTAAAGATTTTGCCTCTTCCTTTTGATTCCATCAGCATTCCTGCTATTTTTTCCTGTTGTCTTTTGTTGAATTTACTGGTATTGTTGCTCATTGTAATATGAATATGTAACCATGGTAACTGTAATAGTTTTGCATTGCCTCTAATAGAAGACACTTTTTCAAACCGTTCACYACATCTGATAGTGTAAAGACAATGCTCTGACCTGAGTTTGCCTTTAGCAACCAGGCTGTGTGCACATATGTTACAGCTCTGGCTTGTAGAAACAGTACCATTGATGATCTGAAATTACAGCTTGAGAGAATTTTGGCTGCACTGTTTGACAGACAAATTCTCTCTTGTGCAAGCAGMAGAGACACTATTTCTGTCATGACTACAAGTGAACTTTTTTTTTTTATAACCAAGGTTTTTTAAGTCCTTATTGCCTGAAGGTAATACATTACTTATGGCTGCTTTAGTTCTATTTTCTGTGTCAACCTAGGATTTGCTAAAATCTCARCATCTGGAGCTTTTCTTTACTGTGGACTGTATAGATAGAGCATGTGCTAATTTTAAACTGCTTTTGTTAGCAACCTGTGTGTTCTGTCTTTTTCATTTAATTTAATGCAGTGAATATTGGAAGTATATTTTTAATCAAACATGAGTATGATTTCAGATTTTGGTCTTTTTTTTTTCCTTCCCCTGTAGTACATCTTTTGGGTTCATTTGCATTTATCTGAACAAATAAATAGGAACAAACAAAAATCATTGGCTTAGAACATGGGGAGATTTCACGAGTGATTCTAASTTTCTGATAAACAGCATGTATGGTTGGGGTTTGTTTTTTTTTTGTTAATATCTAGGAAATGTTTGATTACCTGATAAGCTTGCTGTAAATATTGAAGCATTTGTATATCTTGACTCATGAATGTGGCTTGAAACATCTGTATCTCTGTAACTATGAAATTAGTAGCTGACTAAACACTTCCACTGCCATGTACTGCTCAAGCTGTGCTGCATCATGGCATGATGGTGAAGTGGTCCTGTTTTGGTTTTAATTCAGGTGCTATTATGCAACAATATTAACACTTTTTGGCCTATGGGAGAACAATTTGCTTTTTTTTCTTCCCTGTGGTTATATCTCAACATTACAGGTGCTACAGACATTCATAGTCCCACAAGCAGAGCTAAAGAACTTGGTCCAACTCCCATTAGAATCAATTTCTTGTGAAGTTTAATGAGCTCTTATAAATTTATGAAATAAAAGATCCTGTTCACTGAAGGCCATCTGAATTGACTTCTGGAGCTTTGGGTTCTGTGCTGATGGAATTCAGTTTGCTCCTAACTTGCTTTTAAATCAGTGTGACATTGCAGACAACATCCTGCAGTTGGATGGATGGGGCCATCTGAACACTTCCAGGGACTTTTATCTTTCTTGTCACAGTCTTATGTAATTGTTAAACAAAATAGTTTGWTTTCAGGTTATTCCACTATTGTTATTCTTGGAATTCCCATTTTAAACCAGTTTACTCTTTCATTAAATAAGAGTTCTACTTTCACTGTCTTTGTAAAGGAATTCATAGAGCTGTTGTTATGTCCAAGACCTGTTATAAAAGACTTTAATGTCTTCAGTAGTGTATGTTTTTTCRTAGTGTACTTGTGATGGTTGTGATCTGTCAGTCCAGGTTTCATTGGCTGAAATCCTATCTGTCTTGTTGCCATATCTGTTTTCAGCACTAAGATAAAAAGCACTGCAGTCAGGATTTTGCCTCAAAGGCTTGGGTGAGAATTTGCTACCCTCTTAGCATTTCACTTTGCTTGCATCCTTGGTACAAAAGAGTATCACTTGATAGTGATTAATATGAATTTAATTTGGAGATTGTTTACTCACTTGAGTCATCCCAGTAAAAATCTGCTGGCTCAGACCATGCATCACCAGTGTAGTTCTTGAGCGTGGTTGCATAGAGCTCTGCAGGATCTTTTTACCACAATGATGATAGTACAGTATATTGTGAAAGTAATTGTAATGTGCAGTATATAATTACATGCAATATATAATTATTTCATAATAGAGAATTGTAGTAAGTATTGCAAAGGTAATTAAAATGTTGTTCACTTTTATATTTTTAAATTCCCCGTTATCACCTTTCTTTGACTTACAAACTAAGAAAAGTTAATTGTTCTCTAACATARTATTAAAATGTAGTCTTACTTTATTCTTCATTTTGTTTTGTTTCCAGGTGGAGGCGTAGCYGTTGGAACCCTTCTTCTTATTGGTTAGTATGGAATATATAGATACTTACAGGMATATTCTGAAGCATTTCACTCTTTATTGTGTTCATTAAATAGCCTCTCTTTTCACTGTTTTTTGAAGCCAGACTTTAAAAAAGTATAAGTCTCAAGTGCCTTAACTTTGTGTAGACTTCAGACTACTGTCTATTTCAGGAATTACTGGAGATTAATCAAAACCTTAATTTTAGACAGGCTTGAGCACCTACAAAGAATACCAGAGAATTCTGTTTGAAAGCAGGACATCTAGMACATTTCAGGACTTATTAGCAAAAYACACAAATTAGGTAAGGTTTTCTAAACTGCTGTTAGATTCAAATTGTTTATCATCACAAAGGGGTTTTTTTTAAGTTTGGCTATCTGAGGAAGATGTGCTGTGCAAAACCTGTTAATCTTTTGATTGCCAGAATTGGAACCTGCTTTCTGTCAGGGTGTGAATRAGGCACACTGAGATGATTCCTTACACCAGAATTCCATTTGTAGACCAAAYTGGAACTCTCTGCAATGAAATGTCTCCATTGCAGCTGAGATGCACAACTCTCCTTTCTGTTTGATTGAGTTAACACAAAAACAGCAGAGAAATTAAGAATTCTTGTGTTAATCTCCACCCTGAAGGAGCCCTGGAATCTCATGAATTCTGAGAACAGTGACTAGATTTCAGCCTTGCCTAGGGACAAAGCAGACATGTGGATGCTAATGRCTTGATAGAAGATTTTTACCTGAAAGGATTTTTACCTGAACTTTGTTTCCTCTGAGCAGCTATGTGGCCATACTCAGTGGTAGGTTTAATTTTCTTATCCCCTAGGTTGGTTGTGTATGTGCAATCTGTTATGAAGCCTAACTTGCCAGAAGCACAAATGACAATGTCTCTTTTAGGTCTAAAAACTTTTTTTTTTTTTTCCCCTAATGAGACTTACCATATGTTATTTTGAAACGTGTAATTATATACAAAAAGTCTTAAAGCAGGAACTGTATTTATTCATGACTCATTAGTCTAAAAATYTGGAGACTAATTCTTAAAGCTGGTGCAGGTAGCATTGTGATGGCATTGTTAGAATATCCTGTCAGCATACCAAGAACTTCTGTCATGAGATTAGTCTAGGCAAGCTTAATATTATCAGGATTGAAGCTGTCAGTGATAAACCTCCTAGGAAGATCTTTCTRTGTTGTACTCCAAGTGTTATAAAAAGGTTAAATTCTTCCCCCTTCCTTCAACATTCTCTAAGGCAAGAATAAATTGCATTACTTTTAGCTTAGCTCCCTTTGCAAATTAAATGCTCATCTTCATTATTTGACACATTATCTTGGTTAATTTAACCAAATAATAGTAGATTCAGGGTATTAAAATATTTATTTTAGCTGTTGTGTTCTGAAGATGTAGTAATGGCACAAGTTACTTAATAAGACTGTAAAATATTGTTTGAAATAGAAGTGTACAAGATTTTCTTTCTCGATTCATAATAAAGAGCATTGTGATTTTCAGTTGAACTTAATTCTATGGTAATTCTTTTGACAGTGTTTTAATTATATGAGAATTAGAGAGTTCAAGCACGTGGTATTGTGCAAGATCCTATCTACCAGAGCAGCTTGGAACTTCCTGGGGTTTGTTCATCTRGCAAGAATTAGGATTTTAACTAGTACTTGAATTTAAAAATTCTTACAGTAGTGGGTTTATAAGAAGCATTCTGATGTGGAAGAGCATCAAATCAGCTTGTTCAGTATGAAGTGAGACCACACATTTGTGTTTTCATCTGAAGCTGATTCAGATCAGCTTTCCAGAAGAGTCTCCCTTTTCAAAACAAACAAGAATAAGAACACTCCATCCCCCATTCCTCTCTTGTGTACTTTAACCTGTTGTATGTGTGTTTTGCCAGCCCAGGARGAGTTTCCAGCAGGATGTTATTTTGTTTTTAAATGTAAGCCTTGTTTATATAACATGTTCTGCATAGTGAGCTACAGCACCTTCAATCCTGGGCACCCTGTAAGAACCTATCCTTACTTACCTTTACAAGCCCCAGTTTTGACAAGGTCACTGACAGCTAAATGTTTTAAAGATTATCAGTAAGAGGGGTTTTGTTGGTAGCTGAGGTCAGTTATTAAAAGTTAAAGTTGTCTGGTTAAAAACAGGTCTAAACTTGTTCATTCTAAGCCTTGAAGCACTTTCAGCTACTTTAATTAGCTACTATTATTTTTGTTAGACATGCAATTTAACCTGACTGGTAAGAGCTCTCTTCACTTGTCAATATAACTGAATTTCTCATCTTTTTAAAGCTGAAAAAGATAATCTCAAGAGAGGTTACAAAGCAGTGATTTGCTAARTATAATTCTACAAAATACCAGTTAGCAGAATTCACCTTCCTGAAGTATGGCCAAATGCCAAATATTGTAACTTATATGTTTGACAACTCCATTTTGGCATGTGCTAATTAAATGCAAGTGACACAAAGTATATCCCCTCAAGCTTAGTAAAYGTGGACATTAGAAAAGTATCTTTTAAATGGAATTTCAGATTATTAAAATAATCTCATTTTATAACCTGCAGCAATTCAGAGAGATRTTTCATAGCTGCAGAAAGACACACCTTAGGTCACAGGACCATAATGTAGACTATCTATCTGGTAAAAAAATTATCAATACTGATAGGCTATGACAGGCTTTTGGCAGCTTTAGGGCAACCTGTCTAGACTTTGTAGAGAGAAAAAAAAAATAAGTCATCTGTACATTACATTGTTRCAGTCTTATTCTTTCCTCTTACAGCTCTCATAATTTTAAGCAGTTATGCTACAAATAACCACTGAAGATTTTCAAAGACCTTCATGTTTAATGTTTGAAATTCAGGTATTATAAATACAGTATTTATAGATATGATTGTTATCCTTGGTGGATTTTGTTCTCGACTTTTAATTCCTCTTCAAGTTCTAGCATTTATTCTGCATCCCTCTATTGGAACATGAATTCCTCTGTGCAGAGGGAGYTTTTCCTTAAGGTCACATGGTTATATACCAATTTCTATAATTAGGTTTTTTTCCTTAATTTTAAGATAAATTATATATTTACAGTGCCTCACACATATCTGCTCTCTTGTTTTCTGTGCCCTAGAAAAAAGCCTTAATTTTTTTTTATACCTAATTCTGTGCCCAAAGGTTTCTTTGAGTAGTAGCTACCGACAGTCCATTCACAAAGGTGTGGAGAATGTGCATTATGGATTTGGTAGCCTATACAGTACAGTGGTGAAAAGACCCCTAAATAGAAATTGGTCTTTATCTTAGTATTCAACAAGGTTATATGTTGGAATTCATCTCACTCCCACTGACAATACTGCTTTTTCTCAATGACTGTTTCAGCCATGAAAKCACGCTCTTGTGGAAATAGATGGATAGCCATCACAATAGACTATATTATTTATGTGCTTATCTGTAGGATCACAAGAGGTTTTGTCCTGGAGACAATATGCATAACTTCTAGGTAAATAATCTCTTTTTCTTGTATAGTTTCACGCTTCACTAGTTACTCACCTGCTACTTAGCTGTGGAACACCCTTTGTTCCAAAAGAATCAGAGAAAGCTGCGCAGTGTTTTCTCAACTCACAGTGTGAGTTGTGGTGACTGGACCCAAAAAAGAGACTGCAGCTGCAAGAGTCTTATTTGTTTATGTGCCTTAGTAGCTGGAAGTGAAGTTCACAATGAAGGCTGCTGACWGGACAGCTCTTTAGTGGAGAGGCTGAGAATAAAGATTTAGGCCAGGCTTGCCTTAAGTATTTKGCCTAAATGATCTGAAGTGTTAGTTCCTACATGCACTGAGTGRAGGTAGTTCTTTTGGGTGTGGTGGAGTTTGATAAAATAAAGGTAACAGTTGGAAATTTGTCCTAGAGCCATTCAAATGCTAAGTCCAAGCATTATCAGGAAAGTATTTCATGCTGGGATTCTGTGGCTGTAATCAGTGAGCTGCTGAAGTACCTGTGCTAAACGATTTGTTTGTTTGTTTACAAGAAAAAAGCTGTACTCCTATGGTTTTGAATAGGAATGTAACTATTGAAGCCAAGGTACAATGGATGCTATCAGAAAAGCCCCATATGGACGCACTTTAGATCTTTTGAATACCACAAAAGTTTAGTGACCTAGAAATGAATCAATAAAAAGCATCCTCTATCTGACAAATTGAAGAACTGAGGGATTCTTRCAGATGCATTGACTTTAACAATTCCAGATACACTACTTGTAAAGGCTTTCTGAGACACATCTAATCCTTCGAGTACTGTAGCAGGCTGTGAGGTGGTTTATATTTAGATCACTCTCCAATACTTAATTTCCTACTTTTACTGTAAATTTATTCTTATGAAAATCAATACAAGAAAAAAGGGAAGGCTAATGCTAAAATGATGCATCCTTACACTGAATGTTTTTCTAATTTGCTTGAATATTCCTTGTCTTGCAAAATATGTTTTGGAAGGTTTGGCAGYGTACTTCTCTAGTCCTATTACAAATAAATCAATGAGTCCATAAAATAATAATTTCTGTGGTTTTTTCTTGAGTTTCTGCATTGCTATTAATGTTCTTTCTCCTTTTCAGATAGACTTTTCCTTGCTTTCCTTCTTTCCTTTACTCCACTTCATTGGTTCCTTCTGACTCTTAAGTTCCAAAATATGCTGTCAAAGCTACGCTATTTTATTTTCCTTTCTACTGTTTTTTTACAAATTAAATGTGAATGACAACTTGGTTATTTTCGGTCTCACTGGTTTTCTGTTTTTAATTTTGCTGTTTCATACGCATAGGAAGGAAATAATTTCCAAGTTACACGAAGAACAGATTGAGTCTTGTTGGTTCTGTATAAAGCAAATMTCTGTGTATTTTTCTGTCTCTACATCCCTCTGTCTTATCTTCCAGCAGCCAGATTAAGAAATGAAAAAGTGAAACCTTTCAYAGGGCATTTACTGTTCTCCCAAAACCTATAAAAATCTTTAGCACTGCTATTGTTGGTATTTCCTACAAATAACATCAGAGWTGGCTCAGATTTCAGTTGTTAGGCACACATCCACTTCCCATAGCTTGAAGTTAAATTTTAGTTGTATAATGTTCATTAAGGCTCCCTAATTCTGGTAATTTCTGATACTTAACTTGCACCAAGGAAGCTGAAATAAGTCCTATTTTACCTCTGGTATCTGTTGTACATTTTATACTCCAGGAGATAGACCCAAAGAGGACTTTTACAGTGTTGTAAACATAGAGATAGGCAATTTATCTAACAAAAAATAATCCAACCATTCTTGTTTTCACAGAGGAGGATAAATACGGCCTTTACTCCAATTTGTTGTTCAAGTATTTTCTCGCAGAGGGAATTGTCTGTGGACATGAGCTGTTTGTTGCTTCTGCTAAAGAGCATCCTGACAACATTTTGAAGGTAAGACCCATTGCTGATTTGTGTTGTGTCAGTGTAGTAACCCTCACCTTCAGGCACATCAAGAAGACTTCTCCTGTCACAAAAATGAGCTGCTTGGGATGTGGATGGCTCCACCAAGTCAGGATTTTTACGTAGCATCTCTGATTGTTCATTGAATAACGTGGCATTTTATTTAATGAGATTAGTAATAAATTTATTTTCAGTATCTGATTGAACTGTATTCTTTCTGGAAGGGTAGCAGAGACATGGGACTTATCAACCAGAATTACACGTTTTGCCTGGGTTTAATTTTGTAAATTTAATTTTGTAAAATTCAAGTATGGATTCAATATATTTCACAGATACTATTTAATTAGCTGCTGTATTTCATAAGTCAGTTCATTACCTGTCCATATTGTGTCCATATTCAGTGTTCATATTGTGTGGTCACTCTATTTGCATATTCAATTCTCTGCTGAGATGCCATAATTGCCCCATTCCAGTTTTGTGATGTGATTGGAAGTTTCTTGAACCTATAACCAAGACAAATATTGCTGGTAGTAGGAAGGGGAAAAGACATTCTTATAGACCATAATTATCTTGAAATTGTGTATAACTAAAAGACAGGCAGAGGATAAAAAGCCCTGATCAGCTGCCTAAGATATATTATATTACCACCCACCAATTTATCCATCATCCTTTGAAAATATATTCGTGCCTTTTGTAGTCAAAGCTCCTTCAGGAAACTGGCATTAAGACGTAATGCTGAAAAATTATACACCTCTGGTAAAACCTACAGAACTRTATACATGATGCTTTTTAGAAAGTATTTTAAACATTTGAGAGCATTCCTGTTCACTCTATATTCTTCAAAAAAAGGCAACTTTTTCCTGTAAGGCATAAATACTGGGAATAGTGTATAATATAAGAAATTATACGGTAACTTTTGTGGTTAATCATAAAATCAAACTGCTTGCATTGTTAAATGGAAAATTTAAAGTTCACTTATTTCCTTAAACAGAGGAATATTGCTTACTGTTTCTCATCATACWATTCTCACCTACCCTGGGTTGGCATCCATTAGTTCTTTCTGAATGTCAAAGAAAAATTGCTGTAGTACAACCTTACCTGGAGATGGAAATAAGTTGTTGTATAAGGGCTGCTAAAAAGRGAAAAATTCTGTATCCATTCATTTATGTTCTTTAACAATACACTTTGTATTCACAGTATTTACAATCAAAATAGAATCCTCCCCCCTTTTGGGAGCAGGGCCCTTTAAACTGACATTTATATAATACRTTGTTGAAAAGAAAATATTTACCCTTCCTGACTTACCATCTGGTGTCCTTTAAATACTGAAAATTAACATAATGAAAAAGAGCCTTAAATTCATGTGCATTTAAACTATTTAAATGTTGTTGCAGTTACAGATCAACAGTGGATTGTACTCCCTTAAGTATTTTTTTACTTCACGTTTTTCATCATACTTGTGATAACAACTGCACTTCAAAATAGTTTCATAAACCCATGAGAACAACATATTTCTCGATACATAAATAGATAATGTTTTAAATTCTGAAGTACTATTAATTATACAGTTATTGAAACCTGTAAGGATCAAAGGATTTTATATAAGAGGGATTTCACATACAGCTTGGATTATGTTGCTAAATAATAGCACAGTAGTACTTCTTTAGAATTGTAAAATAGCTTAGWGAGGAGTATGATGCCTATAGTTGGTGTAATGCATTGGTAATTAAGAGGGTGTGAGGTTAAGCTTCATTAACTGCTGTGGGATTGTATCTTGGATTTTATTATCCCCTAGAGAGCATAAGAAGTGAGAGAGGTCAAACTGTTAGAATCTGATTTTGCTTCGTGCATCTGCCAAAACAAGGCAGGCAAAGAAATGTGGCAGCAAACACAGAAGGACCTGGATTGCTGGCAGATACAGGTCATCCACTGTTTTATTGCAAAGATAAAAGGTTTATTACTGAAATAAATTACTCCATCTTTGCAGTGAAACCTTCATAGCTTGGTTTGCAGGAAACAAAATTATTTTAATTGTGTTGTCCTTTACTATGACTGCTTTAGAGAATCATCTTTTTTTCCCAAACTTTTTTTTTTTTTAATTTTAAAACAGCAACAAGCTTCCTTCTCTCCAGCTGAGCTGCCCTTAATAACTTTAGCACTTGTCTGCCTTTTTGTATGTTCATGCTGCATAGCAAAGACTTGTATTTTAGTTGACCCCAAGAAATGCTGTATGTTGGTTTTGTTTTTTTTTTTATTTTAATTAATGCACTGCTACATGCTTTGTTTTTTTCTATACCTTATGAAAGATTTTGTCTTTTTTTAGCCTGGGAGAATGTAACAGTTCTCAAAAGTTGACACACTGATGCCACAAAATTGTCAGTCCCAAAGCTTTTCAAAGCTATATGATGTGGGAGCTGAGATATTTCTCAGCAAAAATAGATTAAATGGAGATATTATGGGCTGATAACCGAACTCTTCTTAGTTCATTGTTTAAGTAACAGTTTTATTTCCAAATTCTGGGTGAAATTTTGGCAGTGAACTCTACATATTTTGGACACACTGTGTTCTTCTGAAATTCTGATTCTGATTGTAAGAACATAAATTTATTGAATCTTAAATTATGTAATTCTTGGACAGTAAAGAAGCCTTTTGTGATGTTGAGGAGTTGTGATATAGATCCAACAATCCAGCCTTTATCTTTGAGGATGTACCTGTGTTATGACAACTGCAGACTTTCTCTTGCTGAGGTGCTCTGTGACACCCAGRCATGGTCAGATTTGGAAACAGCTGCTTTTTGAAACAAAGAATAGCATTTAATTATCAGTGTCAGAAGAGGGGGAAGCCTTTTATTCCAGTTCTAGTTATTGTGAAGAATAAAAGAGGATGYGAAGATAAGAAGAAATGTGTGGATCATTTCAATAATTTCAGTATTGCCCATCAAACAAGTTGATATCACCTTTCTATGTCTGTAATTCTCCCCAGTCCCAAGCCTACTGTGCAATTTTAAGCTCTCTCCCTTTCCAAATGTGCTTATACARAGTTCAAGTTAAACAGATTTTTTTCAAATTAAGGACTGAGATGCATGAGTCAGTACATYCTAAGGAAAACCAGTGACTTTCTAGGTATTGTTGAGTCTTCAGGCAGGCTGCTGAAGGTCTGTTGGCTTCTAGAGAACACAGACTTATCTTCAAACAGCTCCTGCATGTTCTSCCTCCCTTTCATCCAGGGGAAAGTGTGAGTATCCAAAGCTGGGATAGCAGTGATAAAATTGGGATGCAAATCTGGAGGCAAACAATCTTTATTAGCTCTGCTCATTATTCTTTATATAAATACGTTGAAATTACAGATATACTCTGACCTTGAATACAATTGGATTTTTTTTYCCCCATTTCCCCATTTTTCCCCATCTTGGAATGTATTTGACAAGGTAATAAAACAGTTGAGCTCAGGCAGTTGGTCTTCAAAATACCAGCTGGCTCCAAGGCAGACTACCTTCTCCAAATTGCAGCTAATTATGTGTACAAAGCCTGGTAAGAAACTGCATTGTTTACAACTACCACATTCAAGAATATGATTCAGGTTATGTTTGCTTTACAACAGAGGGTTGGCATTGATAATTGCATGGCTGTGGGACGTAGTAGCCCCAGAAATTCTTAAAAGTCTCAGTGTCCCCTGCTTCTTGCATAGGGACAAGAGCATGGTGCATCTGAGAAACATTCTTCAGCTAAGCATGGTAGGAGTTAGGAAAAGGCATTTTGGAAAAGCAGCTGAGGATGTAAGAGTTGTTCTTGGTGTGAGAGAGTACTTTGAGTGCTCTTGGTTCTTTTAGGGATGAGGCAGCATAAACCAGACCCAAAGTGATGCATGTGCTCACTGCTCASTATGGAGTCATGACTTTCTCTTTTCTTTTTTTCTTTTGTGTGAATTTAGTCATGTTAAAATAATTTTCTACTGTCATAAGGTTTTTATTATGTCAGAAACTCTTTATTGTGTCAGAAATTAAAAGCAAGATATATTGCAAAAAAAAAAGAGGCTGTTTCAGATGGATACTTAGATGGATTTTCATCTCCAGCAGCCAAAATCTTTTCTCAGCTTCAGGTGAAACCATTTTTCCTTGATCTCTTAATCTGCTTCRTTCTTAGCAGCAGCTAAGACACACCACAGTGCCTAATTGTGTTGCACTGATCATGTGTCTGTCTCTGATTGTTTGGACTGAGTTGCTCTGGTGTCAACAGCTGGGATTTGTGGTGTTTCCCTGCCACAGAGTGCCATGTAACAAGGTTTTGTTCTGTTTGACTGGGAGGCAGGAACTTTTTTCAGTATTACATGAGGTTATTTAAGCAGCTTGTGCTTTATCAATAACACTCTCACCTTTATTGTCTTGATATTTGTTCTTTTTTCAGCATAAAATACGTTTTTATGTGTAAAATACACAAATTTATGTAATGTCCCTACCTCAAATTTGAATTTCCCAGAAGCACAAATAACAGGCATTTGCACTGATTCCAGGGGAGCAAAATATTAAATATCTTTAAGAAATACTGCTGCTGTTATTCTCYTTACCTCCAGGAAGAAGGATGGTAAAATACACCATTTCCTGGATTTTGGCTTTGCAGATGATGTGATTGCTGCCCAGTGATGTTACAGCAGGGTGAGGCAGCAAATTCTTGTGCCAGTGGAAGTGTCTGAAACAGGGAGTTTGATGAGATGTTTAAGCAGGATTTCATGATCTCTGGCAGGCACTTTTCAGAAAAACAGAGATTACCCACCACTATAAAAAGCTGCAGTAATACCTTGGAGCAAGTTGATCTGGAAATGTTGTTTTGGCCTCCAAATTACTTCTTTGCAGAACTCACTTTTTTAAAGAAAGAAGTTGGTTTGGGTTTTTTAGTTACTATTCATTAAGGAGTATTTTGAAATGATCAAGTATCAGCAGCTCCTCACTGAAAAAGAAAGCCCTTTTTATGATAGGAAGTTTAAATCTATGAATAACTGCATTAGGAAATTAAACCTGTACAATAGTTTAATTGTTCAGTAATGTGTTATCAAAATAGCACCTCAATTGGAAGATAAGATTAATTAACTCTCTATTGTGAATATCTGAGTTATAAAATTAACAATTCAAACTAACATCTCTTTTCCTTTTTAGAAAAATGCTGGTGTCTGTAGGCTGTTGTGGACTGTTGAATACTTTGAAAGTTTTACAGGAGCCAACAAAGATCTTATGTTTAAATGGGCTTAAATTTGCTATGCAGAGAACTTAACCACTCTCAGAAATGGAGTAGTTTGGGAGATAAACATTTTTGAAAAAGGAATATACGTGCCACTCAAGACGAAATATAAAATGTGGCATTTCCATTCTGCATTCTTGGTTTTATTTCTATAATTCAACTTTCCAATAATAATTACATGAGATTTTTTTTTCCTGCTCAGTATTGGTAGGATCCAGTCTTTCAGAAGAGTTATTTTAATCAGGCTTTGTTACAKATTTTACAACTGCCCATTATACTCAGGTATTTGAATTATCTRGCTGGAGGGGGGTATGGATAAAAATCTGCCATTTGTCCTGTAGATAGCTCACATTCTTTTGCTCTCTACCTGTAGGAACTTCCAGCCCCTCTGCTTGATAATACCTACAGGAAGGAATTGGGAGATGAAGGAGCAGCTGTGAAATCTGAGGATTTTCAGGATTCTATGAAAATAGCCTGGCGCTACCARAATTTACCAAAAGTGGAGGTAATAGCTATTTCCTACTTCTTGCCTTTTGCACTCAGAATGAATTTGAAGATCAAATGCTTTTCAGTAGAATCTTGGCAACAGAGCTGCTAATGGACAATATTACAGGATTGTCTCTTGAGGGAAAATTATCATACACCATTTTATGTTTTAATTACTAGAGATGCAAAAAGAAAGGGAATTTGAAAGTTTGCAGGAACTCTAAAATTACTCTATAGTAGTTTTAAAATAAAAAACATTTATGTTCAATGAGTATTATTGAATTGAGACAGCTTTTTGTGAAAGTTTGGATAATGTGCTCACAAACAAACTTGGCCCAAATTTAGTTGTACACAAATTACTTAAGTAGGTTTAATCAACTYGACTTACTAGAGCTCTGTAGTGAAAGTACTGTGTTGAAGCAAGCTGTTGACCTGCTTATCCATGTGCATAACAACTAAAGCAAGCACTTGAGATTATATCAGCTTCACTGTCACTGGAAACTAATCACTGTGCAGGGACAATACAAGAAACAAGCCCAGTGGTCAGTCTTGCAGAGTTTACAGTTGTTAGTGTTTTGTGAGTAATCAATCTCCTGTGGTTTGTGACTTTCTTATTTAATTCAGAGGCACAGTCAATCTTTAATGAAATTACAGCATTCTGACTATCCAGGAAAAAAAAAACAACCCTGTTTGGTCTATGCATTTTAGCCTACATTTATAAATTCTGGTTTAGCTGCAGTCATACCTGCCTAGTAAGTTCAGTCGTATTCTTAAAAACATAATTGGAATGTGACAAAATGATCTTACAGGGCTTGGCATGTTTGGTTTTCTGTGAAATTGCACAGACATGGCTATATAGTTGTGTCAGAAAAGACTTATATATGGTGACATGCCAAATCAAACAGCCTCCAGGGTAATCATATAATCTCATCAATTTTATTATTGTGGAGCTTGCTGTGCCACTCTGAACTATCTCCAAAATAATTTGTTTTAAAATCTAGCAGAATTCCTTTTTTTTATTGATATGCAAACCATTGCATGTTGTTAACAAATAGTGTTCTGATGTTCTAACAAAGTCGAAAAATTATTTAAAAATTCAGTTGGGTGTGCACTCATCTTCTTTACCTTCATAGCAGTAAATACTTCTTCCACTAATGTAATGTTTCTCAAAAATGTGGGATGTACATGCCCTTGATTATTGCAAATTGATTATGCAAGATAGAATAAGATGGTCAATCTTTTTGGGGGAGTTTCTCTTCTTGTCGCTTTTTGAATTGGATGTTGATCATTCTCAATAGTTGAAGTAAAATATTTTATACGTGTTTTAAATTAATTCAAAATGAAAACGCTCAAGTAAAAGCATTAATCTGAAATTATCCAAACCTAAAATTCCTCAGGACATTTTAATTAGTGAAAAATTGGTTTAAAATTTATATTTTTTAATATTTTGTTGTGCAGTTATAAAATTTTGCTGCCTAGAACAATACATTTAGTGCAATAATTTAGTTAACAACTTTGGTTGCGATTCATTCTTTAAACTTTGCTGGTAAAAACCAATATTTAACAAAATTTCAAGGTGTATTTTCCAAACTGATTGAACTAATATACCAGTGCATCTTCAAAAACTRCTATCAAATAGTTTCAACTGTGAAAGAGAAAAATTAGCTTTACTTTTTGCTAGAACTCTAGACATGATAGCAGAAACTTTTCCATCCACTATCTGGCTAAATACAGAGCAAGAACGCTGAGTAAAAACTGCCTTTGCAGTATATTTAATGCTTAATTTTGTTACTGCTACTGAGTAATAACAAATTTTGATTAGTAATTCAGATATTCCCTTTCCATTTCTTAGTCCCCATATAGCCAGGTAAGTCTTTTGTGTTCTTATGTGTTCTTGTGCATGGTATTTATATTAGTGCTCTTCACAGCTGGCACAGTTTCTCTCTATATATTACACATACCATGAATCAGAAAAAAAATAGAGGATTTATAAGAAATCTGTCAGAGCAAAAGGCCTTGTTATGCTGGATGTGCCTTTGCCAGCTTGTTACTTACATCTGTATCAGAGGTGATTTTCATTTAAACTTCTGAGTATATGGAGAGCCTGTTTTGCAATGCAAGACAGCGTGGGTTTTCTTTTATTCTTTTCCCTTTTTTTTTTTTTTTGAATGAACTGCTTATGTTCTTGGGGCAATATATAAACTGTCACAGCATGAAATCAATTTTCTGCCTTGATTCATCCTAAACCTGAGATTTCTAGCACATTAGGATTGCAATTAGAAACATTAACAGCAGACGGTAGCATCAAGGCACGCTCTGCTCGCTGACAATTTAGTGCACTTCTCCTTGTGCAGAGCAGGACTTGGGGAAAGAGCTGTGCACTGATAAATTCATCAGTGGGCAGGGATGGATTATTGCWGCTCCCTCGGTTCAGGTAGGCTGAGCTCCCCGCTAAGCCCGGCAATGCGGGGCGCTGAGGTCTATTCACCCCCTCCTCCACAAACCCGGCTTTGCTGGCTTTTATGGAGGGTTATTATCGCCAAATCCCAGGCTCCACCCAGTTTGGAGGCGCTGTGTTCATTCTTTGGACCCAAGAGAGGTTATCACCTACCTTAATCCGTGCAGCGGGGTGGATTAAGGACACCAATGTGCCTTGGGATTCTCAAAGAGGATCCTGGAAACTTCTTGTTTCTTCTTTTTCGCCGTCTTTGCTAAACTCCATTGGGCCTCAGGAAGGATTTGCATCTGAAATGGGCAACCTGGAGCTTTTCTCAATGAAGACATCAGATCAAAGTTCAGTTAGTCAAGGCCTTTCTAAAACATTAAGGGGGCTTGGAAGTACACAATAAAAAGATGAGCTCTGGCAGAGATTGCAGTAAAAACATTCTGATCTGTAATCCGGATAAAGAATAGATTATAGGCCAAAGAACAGCCCCTGTTTAAATTGCTTTCAGMATCCTCGTTTTAAATAAAGTTACATTTTATGACAAAAGTATTTAAATTTCGATAGCATGTTACATTTTATTGGACTGCCTACTTTAAAACTAAGAAACTAATKAATGAATTGGTGCAATGACTTGGAGAATGTGGTTTTCTATCTTTTTTTTTGTCAAACTGATTTGCCTCTAATGACTAGGTATACGTAAGCAATTCTGCCAGGGTTTTTAAATTAAAAMCAATTTGTTTGTTTTAATTAAAAGTTTGGGTTTCAATGGCTATTGAACAGGRGAATAAAAACTTAGTAGTAAATATGTTTTTCTGCTTGAAGCCTTTATTTAGGCCAAATGGGGAAGGTTTTTCCCAAGTGTTTTGCTAGTTAATAGTCATTTAAGATTGTAATCAGTATTCTTGTTTCCACAGGCCAGCCCAACAACACACACAAAGTTTGGCCATTATTATGATATTTCTAAAAAAATGCCTCCTGAAATGTGTCAGTCCACAAAATGGCATCGTTTTTACCTGCATGAAGAATTGTCTGTCGAGCCTAAAATGAAACCATGGTAAGTTTTGATCCCACGTGCTTYTGTTGAGTGTTTAGATTGTGTCTGCCTGTTAGCAAGAAAGGATAATTTTGCATTTTGAAAAACACAGTGGTGATTTTGGGGGACTGGGAGCACTTCACCTGTGGGTCGCAATTGGTGCCACACTCCTGGAGTGGCACAGAAACAGCTCAGGGCTCTGCTCTGGGCTGGGGGAGGGAGCACAGTGGCAGTGACAATTGAGGCAGACATTACTAGGACAGCCTAGGATGAGCTGCATGTTCAGCCCTGCTGACAGCCCAAGGAGAGCTGTTCCTGTCTGCCTGAGATCCTCCCTGAGCACCATCAGCTCAGAGATGTCCTTGTCAGGTGRCTATCAGCCTTAGGATTTTTCRTTTCTGTATTTTCATGCATCTGTRTTCTTGTACTTCTCTAGTACAGCACTAAAAACTAGCATTTTCTCATCTTTAGACAAAACAATTCCTCTCTGAGCCTGAATCCAAGGACACCTCAGAGCCCCAAAATATGGAAACAACAGCGAGCTGGGGGGAGCAAGTTTGGGGTGATTGACATCATCACCTGTAAAGATCATTGGAGAATTAAGACCTAATATGTTAATAAGGCAGAACTTATAAAAGGTGAAGATCTCGTGACCCAATGTCCACTTTGGGTGTAGCCTCAGGAGGAGGCTTTGTCTGCCCTAATGTACCARTAGGCCTGTTAGGCCTGGATTAAAGTTGTGTATTCTCATTCTCTTAAGAGAAGAGTACAGCACCGTTTAAGCTCAGGCTGAAATAAAATGTTCTAGTCCTGAAACTAAGCCTTCTCTCAGGTACCCATCATGGAAAGAGCACCTAACCCAGTATATACATTCCACATTAAGATCATGAGCAGTGACAACCTCATCATTGTACAGGAAGATTTTAGAAACTCGGGGTTTGGGGTTTTTTTATTACTCCTTTATGATTAAATCATCATACATTCTTATGTGAGCCATAAGTGGTGTTTGGGTGGGGTTTTTTCCCTCTCTTCCTGATAAGACCTGCTACTTTTTATAATTAGTGTTCCTTCCTTAAAGAATGTACTTTTAATCCATGACTTGTTTAGATGCACCTAGAATTGTTGACCAGCTGTACTTTCCCCTTAATTTTTCAGTTAGAGGGTGACTAGTTTTGGAGGACCTTAGGTTTCATTTTTCCTCCTTGAGATTTGGAATATCTCTTTCCCCACCCTCCTTTTCTTTGGGAAGAGATGGGGAGCAAGAAGAACAATCCTTTGCTCTCTTTTCCTTTYACCACCCTGGGATGTAACAACAGATTATGCATTTATAGCAGAAAATACACARGAAAAGTAATGTACCACATTTTGTTATACAGCTTACACTCTCCTGTCAGAAACATGAGTATACTGAACATGCATTTTACAATCCTTGGAAAAGYAGTGCTGCATCTTTTAATAAGAAAGATCCTTTGTCTTAATGTTTTGTGACATGGAAACCATGTATTTATAAAAAGAACCAGATCATCYTCATGCTTCTAATTCTCTAGCACCACATTAAGAAACCCATTTGATTTCACCTGTTCTTYAGTGAGTGAACTGTCTCTGTCAAGTGTAGCTAATGTCTATTTTGAGATAATTACAGAGCAGGATCAGAGCTGTAGGGACTTTATAWRGGCCARAAACTCTTGGCCATTTTGAGAAATTGTGTATAAATATACACGTCCCTCTCTTCCTATCCACAAAGCACTTGGTCTCTTTACAGACTTAGAAAGAGAGGTGATTGTTTGACTGATTAGATTAAAATTGACCTTTTAGTTTGCAATAAAAAGTGAGATTTGGAGGTTGTCAACATCATTTGTTCACCTTAAAGTTTGCTTCAGTCCTCCTTTCCTGTTTTTTTCCACGTGTGTGTACCTGATTTTGAGGAAGGGAGAGGCTAAATGTTGCCCTATAAACTGGCACCTGCCAGACAGTGTAGATGTAACATTTAATAGCCATGTTTGCTCCCCTTTCTGCAGTTCTGATGGCTAAATTAGACTACAGGGCTYCCTTTTGGATRATCACTCAAGATGGRTAGAAGTTCATTYATTTCCCCATGATAAGAATTAATTRAAGACAGATTGTGAAGCCASCTCTCCTAAAGGAAGCAGTAAAGGGGGCTGGGTGTTTGGTGCCAGAAGAAGGCATAAACCTTCTCTGTCTTATCTCATTTTTCTGTTGGGGAAGGGCAGTTTTGTGCTGCTGCTAATGCTGGGCCCAGGTTTACAGGGGTGTGTGGCTGACAGCAGCTGGTTGTTGCCAGGATATTCTGCTGTCCTGGTCKCTGCACTGCTGGAGCTTTGCTTAGCAGGAAGGAGGAATATCCTCTCTGGTGACTCTGTGCACTGCAGACACTGAATTTCTACCTCTCTGCTCCTATTCTCATTCTTCAGTGCAATTACTTAACTAGAAGGTTTGATAATCAAAGGAACCAAAATAGTTAAGCTGTAGTTTTTCAGTCATACTTTATATTTTACCTTAAGAATGTATGCGCTTTTCAGAAAAAGAATAAATTTATTTTTATTTGTCTGTGCACTGCAGACACTTCATTTCTACCTCTCTGCTCCTATTCTCATTCTTCAGTGCAATTACCAAACTAGAAGGTGTGATATTCAAAGGAACCAAAATAGTTAAGCTGTAGTTTTTCAGTCATACTTGTAAATTTTACCTTAAGAATGTATGTGCTTTTCGGAAAAAGAATAAATTTATTTAGAGTCTAGCTTTACCAATAAATTTAGATAAAACAGGTTTAACTGTCTTGCCTAATGGGGTCTCCTTATACATAACAAGGCTATTTGTCATCTCCTTGATAACCTAACCTTTGTTAACTGCTTGGAAACTATCAGCAGAGAAGTCAGAGCCTTTGTTGTAACCAGGATACCTCCTTGCCAGCCCTGCCTTATCCATTACTGAAGTGCTAAACAAAAAAAAAGAGTAAAGAAGTATTGTTTAAACTCATTATCAGAATTAAATAGTGTTTAGTAACAAAGCCAGAAACAGACTAGAAATTGGAAAATAAGAAATAACCTATTTCCTTCCTTAAATATTATGACAAACATTGYCAGAAGGATAATGCTACTTGCTTTTATAAATAGTGTTTCTATGATAGTTTTTATGTTCTTATTTACATAAGATGGGTCAAATGCAAGTAAACCATTAATTTTTAGAAAGAGGTAGAAGAATATCTGGTTTGATTTTTTTTTTTTTAATCTACATACATTACATAGTTTTTTAAAATTCTTTCTTTGCTGCAAATCTCCTTCTGATAGATGAATTGAAGATCTATTTTATTTGTTTAATTTTGGGACCCTTTCATGCTGTTAGTGCTTTGGTTATTTTATTCTTTTATCTACTAACTTTTAAAAGTTAGTGGCAWATRTTTTGATTGCAGTATATTCTTTGGCAAAAATAAATTATCTTTGGGATAATGTGAAGACATGGAGAATTTTGGCTACCATGGGGACTAAAGTTCTGTAAACTGGCAGCTGCCAGGCWGGGTAGGTATAACATTTAATGTCCATTCCTTTTGCAACAAAACACTGGGAAAGTCATGGACTTCACAAGTTAAATTCCCTGTTTGAAGTGCTCCTTTTCTTTTCTAGCAAGGCAGACTTTCTGCATGTTGAGGTGATTACTGCCAGTTAATTTTCAACTCTGAATTTCATAAAGAGTATTAAATTATTAAGGTACATCAGTTTMATCAGTAACCTTCTAGGGTAGTGAATCTGAAAAAATATATTATTAAATTTGGAAATTCTGCTTTGTGTTTATATCAGGGAAGGGTCCCCTTGTAATGTTTAGCCATCAGTGTGCTTTTGTTTGTTTTTCTGAATGTTGTATTTTCTAAACAATGCATAAAATAAATGCTACCTCGCAATTTTGCTGTCACGCAAATAAAGCAGTGGAAATGTATGAAAATTTTCCCAGAAAGTCATCTCTGTTCATCAGGGCATTGATTAGGCATACTGGGAATAACAATTGGGTCTTTGTCAGTTATAGAAGATTAGTATTGGGCTGTAATGGTTTCAACTTTAGGCTGATACATTAAATCATTAATCTTCTAGATGTAAGTGAGCCTGACATAATTAAGTTATCTTAATCCCTAGAGATTGTAGCTTTCACTAAATGTCTGAGCACTGAACTAGTTAATATGAAGCAATCACAACTGCTTTTAATGTCAACTTTATTCAAAGAGTTTTCGGGTTTTTTTCTTCTCTGACAACTCTTTTCTATGTGACACTTCCTCTCAAATGTACATCTACTTTTTATACTGCTGTTGAAGACATACAGGAAAATATTCAAATGTGTAACAAGTATTTCTTCTTRCCAACAGTAATATGAACAGTGGTTATGCAAAGCTGCTTCAGTCCATTCAGAGGATCATTTCCCAGGAAGGCTTTGATGGCTCTGATCCCCAGGTACTGAAAATGTTTATACTCCTCTAATCCTGTAACTGTTGTTTTCTGGCTTTTTAAAGGTGGCACAAGAAGGTCTTGGACAAATTAATAAGGAACAAAATATTTTTAAGGATTCCTAAAATGAACAAGCAAAATAAGTYGTGGGKTTTTGGGKKTTTTTTTAAGTTTTTACCTGTTACAGATATGCAGTATCATGCAAGAAAGAATTGTAAGACAGCATTAGTAAAATGCATTTTCTGTGCAATTGGCTGGTAAATGGATGGCCAAATATTATGTAATTAGGCAAAACACATTTTGCCCTACTATATTTGTTTTTCTAATTGTTGCTTTAGCAATAATCTGTTGAACACTCTTGAGGTTCAACATTTAATCTTAAACTTTCAGATTTTTTTCAATGTTTCAAATGGAACGAAGTGAATTTTTTAATGAATTAAATGGTGGCATCTTTGTGTAGTGAGCATTGAAAGACAAGTAAAGAAATATGAATGCTATTTCAATTTAAAAAGCTAAACAGCTTAGCAGCCTTCCAAAAATCTGTGTACTCGTCCATAATGTGGGTAATCAGAAGCATTTAAAGTGTAGCAACATGAGCTAATTTGAGTAGTGCCTATTGGTTGTGCTTTGTAACATACTCAGTAATGTTCTGGTTCTTTGTAACTATATTCAGTAACATGGGAATTGCTTTGGAGTTGATGGAAATAAAATAATAGATTGTATATATTGATGCTGAATTAAAAGSTGATGATTCTTGTGCAATAGAAGGTAATTAGTATAAACACTGGAAAGCCTGAAATTATTTTATAAAAGATGATGTAGCTTAGGAATCATTTTTTCAGGGAAAACAATGCTGGAAGTGATGTTTTCGTGTCTCTCAGTGTGTTTTAGGAGCATTACCTGCACAGAGCACTGTGTGTAAATGTAGGTTATTTGTGCTCAGCTCAGTCTGYGAGGGTTTCCCTTGCCTTTGGTGGCAGTGCCAGTCTGGAGGAGCCAATTGGTCCCTGCCAGTCCCCTGTCCCTGCTCACTGCAGTAACCATGGCAACAGCCATGTGTGTCATCCTCCTGTGCAGCACAGGGATGCTCCTGCTGCTCCTGGGAGCGCTGGGTGACACAAACACCCTGCCAACCTCCAGCCAGCACAGCAGACATTACACTGCTCTGCCTGATTTGGCTTTTTATATCCACGCAAAAGAAAATGAAGGCTGCTTAGAGCCAGCATTTTTTTTTTTTTCGCTTGCAAGTAGGGGAAAATTAAATTAAAGATCATGGATCATTATTTTCTGTTAATTCTGTTAAACCATTTCAAAATGTCTTACAACTAGTGTCAATAAAACACAACTAAGATTTTAACTGAGGTGAATGTCAAAAGTATATGTTTGCTAAATAAAACATCCAAGTTTCTAAGGTGAAGCTTTAAAAGTTAGAAAAGTCCTTTTTCAGGCCAGTTTATTGATCTRGAAAGCCATTAGCACTCTGTAGTTYCTTCTGTTTTGAGAGAGGTACTGCATATGATTTCCTGGAGTGGTTTCTATTACTTTCTTTTTTTAATATTTCCCCTTTCTCTCTTTGTACACTCAAATKTTGTACATTTAGAAGCTTTGTATAATACACACTTCTTAAAAATATGTCCAAAGTTGAATAYAGTAGTGGTTCAGAACACTTCCTCTGCCTGGTCTATAGCCATGATATCTAGATAAAATAGTATTCTTAAATGCCTGATTTTTTTGTTGCTTAAATGCACATCAAGGATTGCCTGARTCTGCTCTGATCAGAAGTAATTAAAGAATGTTAGACTAAAAGTCTTAATTTTTCTATTCTTTTTAAAACTGAACATCTGAGCCTAGCAAATACGATACAGAGAAATCAGACTGTGCTGTCTTACCCTGTGCTGTTTTCCTGATCTTCATAGAGCAGTGTAAAAAGTTAAACTTTCCATAACTAAACCCTAAAAGCCTGCAAAGCCTGAGACTACAGAATCTGCCAGGGTTGAAACACGGATTGCTTTCCCAAAGATTGGAAGTGAATTGAGAGATCAGCTCCCTGTGTACGACACACAAATGGATAAATGCAGAGCCATGTGGTGCTGACTGTGTCTCACAATTTAGGCTCTGTCTACCCAATATGGATAAGGCAGCATTTGCAAGAGCAGCCTCTTGTCTTGTCAAAACCTTTCCTCTGGCTTGCCAGAGCAGCTGTGCAATGTTTTGTGCTTGAGAGTTGCTGTTAYAATTTCTGTTATAATAGTTCTGTTATAGTTGCTGTATAATTTCCAACAGTTGGAAATTATAATCTGCAGTTTATCAAAACACTTTTCTGTAGTGAAAAGTACCTGCAAGCTTTTATTTCTCAAAACTAGTTATTTTTTATACATATATGTGTGTRTGTAATTAAAGAAAGCTGATCTTTAAGTATGAACCCTGAACTCTAGAAATGTTTCTTTGATCACCTTGTGCAGGAAATCTTTCAACAAGGGAGTTTATTGTCTCTCTCTCTCAGCTGTTAATAGCAAATATATCTAAAATCCTTTCCAAAGATCACCAGGAAAGGTCACATCAAACAAGCAGCAATGAGATTTGTCATCAGGAGAGATAACATTTTACTTTGCATAAACACATGACAACTCTGACAACTTCCTAATCTGTCCCTTCAGAAAAAGAGCTTTATCTGAGCCTCTGCTTCTGTTGGATTCTCCTCTGGCAGCCTCCTGCAGRGCAGCAAGCAGGATTTAGGTAGGGAACACAGGGGACTATTTAGGGTTTTTAGGGTTTTATATATCAGCACAGCTTAGATTGCAGCACCCAGGAGGTAACTAAAGCACAGCAGAAGCTCTCATGTCAAGGTGTGGTCCCTAAGGGACAATCTGCTGATGTCCCCATCAGAATCAGGTTTTTTTTTACAGCTGTGGGTCCAACTTCTTTCATTAGTGGGCAGGAGTTGAAAGGAATGTGGAAAGTTGAAAGGAGAATTCTAATTCATGTGCTGGCCAGGTAAGGCACTGTCCTTGTTCACTCAGGAGCAGCAGAAGTGAAAGTGAAGCAAACASTCAGAGTAGTGAGGTTGTGAAAAAAGGTGAAAATAGAGGGACAAGTTGTGTTTGATTACACTCAGACACCTCCAGCAGACTCTCTTAGAACTGGGAGAAAATGCTCTTTCACATGATTTTTAAGCCACTGGTGGAGGAGAGGAAGGACATAAAAAGCCCTAATGTCACTGGATTTTATGGCAGAATATACTTATATTTAACTGGTAAAAAAGTGCAAATTATTAATTTTCAGTATTTCCATGTGTCTATTATGTTTGTACTTGCTTATCTGATATAGCATGATATCCAGACAGTGAAAAAATTCCATTCCACTTGCAAATTTTTACAAGATAATTGAGATAACTTTGATTACATAAAATACACAGTTATTACAGATATGCATTCTAGAAATTGCATATGCATTCTAGTGTTCCTCCTGGTGTTTAAAAATAATAAATGACTTTTTTTTCTGTTTTCCTCCCCCGACAGAAAAAACAAAGGAATGTTTTGCGGATAGGAATTCAGAGTCTGGGTTCCATTTTGTGGGGTGATGACGTTTGTTGCAGTGATGTTCCTGAAGATCCTCACAGCMTTACCAAATTCCTGTATGTTCTCCGTGGCCTGCTGAGGAAATCTTTGTCTGCCTGCATCATCACAGTGCCTGCTCACCTTATCCAGGTAGGAATGCTGTTTTGCAGTTAACAAAAGTTTAAGGTTTGTTTAAGTTTAAGGAAAGAACCAAATTGCACTTTYGGACATTTTCAAGTCTTTTTTCTCAAAGGGTGAACTTAAAATGTGACTCTATCTTATGCTTTATGCTTTAGTGGGAGAGTTATGCTTCAAAATCTACAAAGAACTAAGTATAAAATTACTTTAGGAACAGTTATGCCAAATGTRGGTCTTATTCCTTTTTTAAAAAGCTATCAAAATTTCAGAAACTGAAAAAAGCAAAGAAAATACCTATAGAAATCTCTTTTAAAATTATTTTTTTACAACATCTCAATGTACTTTTCCGCTGCCTTCAGAATGCTTTTTGGAGTATCAGTACAAGACTTTTCAGTCCATCATCTTTACCTGTCATGCTCATTATGATGATATGTGTTTTTAAAGCCAGGAACTGAAAGGTACTGGTTTGCTCTATAATTCTGATATCCCCTTGTATTGGGATTAGGAGCAAACCAGTTATGGCATCAGAGTTATTTTCCCAACTGCAAAATCAGAAGCAATTAACAGCATTGTTCCTGATTGTAGGTGCAGACTTAAATGTATCTTCTGAAAATAAACTTTTTTAGCAAAAGAAAAAATGTAGATAGTCTTTTGTTCTGCAAGTGGTAATGTAACTTACAAAAGCAAAATTATTATTCACAATGAGCAGAGAACCTATAATTTTAGATATTTGATTTGATTATAGTAAAAAAGTACTGGATAAAACCTCATATTATGCAAAATGTTTTCATAGTAGGTGAGTTGATCAATAGATTAAATCCTGGCTTAGGTAAGTACGTGATTCCCATGTATGGCATTTTGTTAAATGAATACCTGCAAATGTTATTTATTTRTTTAGATACCAGCACAATTACTGCTTTGAAAATAAAGAAGGTTGATTTTTTTAGTTTTACCATTGTAGTCAAAAGTGTGCCAATACTCCTCTTGCAGTACATACCTCGTACCTCCATCTCCTTACTTATTATTTTTAAATATTAGGTGGCAGTCTGTCCCTTCAAAAAGAGAAACAGTTAAATTTAATGCAAGAAATAGAATTTCTGTGAATKTAAAATTATCACCCACCCTACTTTTTACACACTGGAATTGCCTGTCCATAATTGAGACTTACAGCCCTTTCCCTTGTACTCTTCTTTATATATCACACCAATAAAGGCTACATTCATATTTTAGAGAAGTCCAGCAATGTCTCTRAGAAACAAATTGAAGGACAGAGTTTTTTTGTTTGCTTCAGACTTAACTTGGGAAGTTGATTTTTGGTTTATAAATTCCATATAGGAATTTGTTTTTGTCTTTATAAATTCCATATAGGTCAATTCACAGGGAGTTAGGATTGAAATTATACCTCGTTTTTTAATTTTAACRGTAAGAACATTCTGAATTTAAATAAAATAAATGTTAGGTACAGAACCTTTGCTTAGGGGTCTTAAACAATTCAGGACAATACTTTTTTTTATTTTTAAATTGAAACTTGACTTTAATGCTGTATGCTCCAGCCTATGCTGAGCAATGAGCTGTCATTAGGAGGAGCAGAGCTGCTCAGGTCTCTCCTTGGCCACATTAGGGATTTCTCAGAGCCCTGCTGTGGACTTGCTGCCCTCTCCAAGAAGCTGTTAAAGAGCCCCTGGGAGCATGTCCCCAGCCTCCCTGGCCTGTTTAATTGGTGATGCTGGCGAGATGAGGGGACAGGAGAACATGTGYTCTCTCAGCCCTCCCTTAGAATAACAGCAGCTGCTGCACTCTCACTGCACAGCACTCACTGCTCTGCTGCATTCACAAAGTAAATTCACAAATAGCTCTTCTTTCCAACAGAGCAAGAGACACGCATTTATTTATTTTTATTTTTTTTCCAAGTAGCTATATGTTTAATTTGATCAGAGTGGCATATGCTTTCTCTGTTGAATCTTCAMGTCAGTGCACTGAAGGCATAGAGAATACCCCCTGTTTTTAAGTAAATTCCACATTTTTTTTCCCCTGTTCCTCTATTTCCTAGGTTGTAGTTTGGCCCCTAACTAAATTAATTGGGTGGTCTCCAAGAAAAYTCTTCACATGTCTAATTTCGAAATCACATTTAATCAAAGTTTTGTCTGGATGATACATGCAAAAAGATAGTTTGGTCTTTACCTGCTTTATCATGAAGAAGTAGATTTTTAGGAGTGMCATATCTTGTCTCTGTCAGTCTCCAGACTAGTTACTCCAATGAAACAGTAAAACAATCAGTAGAACTGATTTTCAACAGGGACAATATCTTTTCAACCCAGACTAGTTCGGTTTTTTAAATGGAATACATATTTTATACATTTTTATACATATATATATATGAATAATGCATATATATATATATATATATATATATATGTGTATCTATTTTTTGAAATTGTTTTATTTATGTATTTTACCAAACACTTTGCATGTTGAATTGTGACATGGGAGCCCACAAATTAAACCTACCTGGTTTCTTTCTTGTTGAGAAAGTTTAATTTTGCCTTTACTTTTCATATGTTATCTTTGTTCTTGGCTGGTGAGACATTAAAATGATCCTCCCCATTTCATATTTTCTATGTTCTGGTTTGTAATTTCTGTCATTCTGCCTCCTTAATCTGTTTCTAAACAGTCACTTTACCTTATTACAGTAACATAACACAGCAATGCTGATATTGTTTGTTCACTTTTCCTACATTCTCATGTCTGCTTTGACTCTTCCATGACTGCAGAGCATTAAACAGGGATTTTGTTCTTGRTGTTTTTCCCTCTGTGATACACGTGCACCAATGTGGCTCTTTCATTATTCCAGCAATTCATTGCTTTGGATTTAATAACTTGGAATTGCATTTGTCCAAAGATGATRCTCATTTATCCAGCTTGGTGGGACAGTTCATGGTGTTCTGTAAGGCTGGCTTTTAGTAAAAGGCACAAATTTGCAAAAAAAAGTCTATTTATGTGTGGAATTTTTTCAGAGTAATTGAAAGAAATTGTAGTCCACTAAAGCATACAGATTTTTTTTTGTGTTTTATTGATGAAACTTCTAGGGCAAACAGTGCATGAGAAAAAAAGAAAATTCTCTTTTCTCAACCACAAAAATAGGAATACATTATTCTGGAAGACGGTTTCAAGAAAATGACACAAAAAACTTATCCAATTATGAATTTTATTCAGATGATGTGTGACAAGTTTTACTTGATTGATATTTTCTACCGATTGAACATACTCTTATCTTACACTGTCTGTCAGGTAATAAATATTGAGCTACTTACAAGTATGATTAAAATAGTTGATGGAAGGTTATTTTTCAAGTCTTCCTACTGCTTCTTGAAAATGCATTGTGCCCGAGAAATCATATGGTACATTTGAAAAGGGAAAATTACTTCCATTTTGAAAATCTAGCATTGATCAAGGAGGGCAGATTGAAGAGGCATTTCAATTGTTGTTACAATTTCCAAGTTTATGGAATATTATAAAAGCAAGCAAGGATTCTTTTTCTGTGTGTTGATAATYTGTGCATTTTAATACCTAAATTTAGGAAAAGAATTATTGTGCAATTGTGTGACTGAAGGGGCTTTAATGTCACTGGTCTATACTGGAAAAGCCCTAAATTAGAACTTAAAATATTTTCCCATTGTATTTTTTTTTCTTTAATTACTAGAAATCGTTGGTAAATCCAAGAACATCTTCCCCTGAAAATGCTAAATAATATTTTTGATTCTATTCTTGTTTTCCCCATTTTGTATTACTTAAATATTGGTTTTTTTGAGTAGATTATTATTTTCACAGAAGAAAGCTGTCCTGTATTTTGAACTTGAAGCTGGTATTACTGGTAAGGACTAAAAACCATATTAGTCAGCAAGTACCAAGGGAAATTAATTGACTAATGAAAAGTCAGTATGAATAAGTCTGGTTACAAACCCTGTCCTCAGAGTCTGAAGTTCTGTTTAGCAAGRTATTTTCATTATTTCATCCGGTACGTTAAAAAATTAATTTCCTGCAATATTAATGTTTTRATGTTTTGAATTCACCGAAGTGCATRAGTCGCTGTACATTTCAGTGTAGGAAAATTCAGAAACAAACCTTTTCACATCCAAAGCCTTTTGTGTTCACACAGAGTGATTTAGCAGCTGAACTCCAAGTCAAGCAATACAGTGCTTTAAATTGCTGATGTAGGATTATCAGATATAAACTCCTCTAGCTGGCAAATTTCTCAGTTTGAAATGTTTATTCCTATGACAAGAACTTTGCAGAGTTAACTGGTGTAAAGTGCTGAATAACCTTCAAATGTATTTGGTGAGGTGGCTGCTGCTCACAGATTTGTGTTGAGATCCAATATCATGATTAAGGAAGCTTTCCCATCTCTCTGCAAAATAGAAACCATGAAGATTAAATAGTTGTAATATTTCTTCTATACTGGGTTTTTTTGCTTTCTATTTAATGTTGAGTGTTGCTTTTTATTGTATGTGAAAAGTAGAGTTTAACAACTTAAATATTGAGAATTGTAAGTTTATGACAGGTATTTTGGGTTATCTACATAGTATTAGGATATGTCTAATTTGTGTTTTAGGTATTTATCTTTAAAATTCTGATTGAGTAGGAAGCTCAGGGAAGTATCCTATTCAAAATTTAAATTGTGGAACAGTAAGCTTTTTTAAAATTTCTCTTTTTTTTTGACAGTATTTGCTAATCAAATTGTAGAAGAAAAAGATGTATTTTGTGGTTTCATGGAATCAGGTTTTGGTTACCAACAGGCTGTGTTGTAGCACTACCACTTCTGATTTTGCACCAACTACCCATTTCAAAAATGAATATGATACACATCTGATGCATGTTTTTGTCCCCACGTTAGTTGTCTTTTAACCAAATTAATTATATTATGAACAGTCACACTATATGTTAAAGTGGCAGGCCTACAACAGCCTTGTCATTTTTAATGAATTTTACTTTTTAAAGGGACAATATATYCACAT